TCTAACTGACCAGGATCATAAATACATAGGATTCTTTTAATTCTAATTTCTAGTATTATTTCAAGAGGATAAGTCGGCATATCTGTTGCTGGATTTTACGTCATTCCATATATTTTATTCTATAATTATAATAAAATTAAAAAACAGAAGTTCACATTCTAGATTTTTCACATGAAACATTTTAAAATATCATTAAAATATATTATTATTATTATTATATAATAACTGGACAATTTATACTAAAAATTACAATTACTCATAATTCAACTTACCCATTGTAAAGGTGAGACGAATAAAGTACACGCCATATATCCATATTGGCAGCAACTGTTTCTTCATCAGGGAAAGGCGTGGAAACCGATTATCGCGTTAGCACAATCTAATTGTTATGATTTTTAGGTGAATTGGCCGAATAAATCAAGTACTAGAAATAAAAATATTTTTAGCATCTCAGAAAGATACAAGTTAATAAAGCAAACTTTGGAGCTCAAACACAGGGCTATCTACTAATTCCTGACAAGAAGACACCACCAGAAAATGGCTTCTGAAGAGACACTGCAACTTAATTCCTTTTTGTTGCCCAGAAATGACGTCTAGCGCCACACATCGTCAAATCTTTAAGTTATAAAAAAGGTTATGTAAAACCTGAAACATTTCCATAATAAAATATCACAATAGAAGACAAACTTCAACGAAATAGTTAGATTTCAAGAGAACGGGACGAACACTTAACATTATAATAAACCATTTTTCAAAATATAATAAAAGTAATATGATTAATGAAAATAAAGATGTTACTTCATTATGTAACATCCGGTAACTTGTAAAAACAAAGAACAAATAAATCACATTACTTAATTGTGGTGCAATCATATAGTTGTAAGTAAAAAAAATCTAATTTTGCTACGAAAAAAATATCTAAAGCTTTAAATTCAGTCGTACAAATAAAGGGACACTTTTAAAATGATATTGCACGAGAGAATAATTGTAGTTATATATCTTGTTTTATAAACGTTATCTATGTCATCGAGAATAATTTCACTGAATATTTTTAAAGTCGCCTTAGACTTTCAGGACTACTGATTTATCATGGAGCTTGCTCCATCGGTAAAATAATTTAGTTTGGTCACTTAGTTACCTCTTATATTAACGTGTACAGTTTTTTGCAGTTTTTGACCAATGCCATTTGATATTGTGCATGTGTATTTTCCACCATCGCCATATCTAGTGACGTCAATAATTAATGTTCCATTCAGGAGAGTTTGCCAATGTCTGTTATCGAATTCTTCGTTTTCTCTGCCAGAAAGATGACCTAGTAGAAAATTCAGATTATATGACTGTTTCAACCCTACTTGGCTTCCTTATGACATAAGCGAAATATTATTAACTATAACGAAAAGGCTTAAGATTATTGTACCAATCAAAAATATTAACAGCAGTAACTACTAAAAAATAATTTATTTTCGAATAATAAAATATTTAATATTCACGAGTGAAATACGTTTCGGTAATTATGTATTTAAACTTAAAGTTCGTTGCTTTATTCTATTTTCTTTTACAAAAACTACTGTAATTATTTTAAAAAATAAAATATGCTATGTTATTCAAGATATCTGTCATGTAAAAAATAACAAAACTGTTTGCAATATAAAAACAACACACCATCTTTCGTCCAATGAACAACTGGAGTAGGATATCCATGTGCATTGCAATACAACTGTAAAGGACTTCCTAAACTAACCACTGTATCTCTTGGAATAGTCCGCCATCTTGGTGGGCCTGAATCAATAAATGTCAAACAAGTTATGACGTTTCAAAAGAACTTTATAAAAGTACCCCGCCAATTATGCACAAGGCCCCTTAACAGTAATAGCACTAATAGTAAATATTCAATTATGTACCAGCTGCCTAGTGTCGGGTAACAATACGAAGAATT